CTCTGCATTACCATTGATTACAGCCAATGCTACTGATTGTTACGATATTTCTGTAAGGTATTTTCTCTGTATTAACATTGATTACAGCTAATGCTACTGAAAGCAAGCTCAAAGAAGTTAACCTGCTAATACATGTATGAAATCAATCTCTCCTACACACAAAAATCTTTGGCTGTACTTCAGAGTAGATTTCATATGTATGTAGCAATGTCCCTAACAGTATGATTACAGTAAGTTTATTACACCAAAAATGAGAGATTAACAGAATTCCTGAACTGTTATCTATATAATGATAACATCAAAAAAGCTTTTGAGTGTGAAATACAAATGTCTCATACCGGACATATATATGGAATCATACTTCAACAATGAATTTCTGCAATTGTAATAAGAGATAGTAAAAATTTGACCAATTTATGATACATATCTGTTTAACTGTGGCGTAAAAGTTGCATGTTGAGTAGTTCACTTTTATGTAATTTTACTGTATATTAAAAAAACGTATTACTTTATATAGCTTTGGTTCCTTAAATGCTCAATGATATCAAGTTCATTTGGTAACATAATGGAAAAAACTATTGATTCTATAGAACTTGATTATATGCATCCCAATTTCATTGAACTATGAACTGTATTTCCTCGTGAGGAGAAGACTTACCCTATTGTAAAGTACCTTTACAATAACATTGCAAATTTTAGTTAAAACAATATATATATATATATATATATAATGTTGTTTTGTTAATTTCAGTTCTTATGGAACCAAAGATTTAAATGATTTAGTACTCATTATGGCACTCAAACCTGTCCTCAAGCTCAAAGTTGATGAATTATTTTTACGATGGTTGAGTGAACCAGAAACACAGAATAGTTTAAAAGAAAATCTTCGGCAACTGACACACGGAGAAGCTTTGACAACACCGTTATCTCATTATTCATTGGCATCACCAAGGTCATCATCTGGTAAACAGTCACCAAGGTTACGCCCTACTTCACCACCATTTTCACCACCAACCTCCAAGTTGCCAAGCCCTAGAAGTCCTCGCAGACCATTGTCAACCAAGAATAACCACAGGAATGGAGGCACTAAGGTTTGTCAAAATATTTATTTTACAAAGAAAAAAAAAGAATAACTCATAGATTTATGCAAGTTATGACATATATAAATTTAGCAGAACAATGCTTTACTTTGATATTGTGCATATTGGTATGTTCATGACAGAGTAGTGCTTGTTCTTAATATTTTTGTGAAACAGATAAGTTGTTCAACTATGTTTTTTTCTAGTTGTAGTTTCACAATTTTCACACATGCAGTACTATTTGATCATTTACAAGATTGGTTATAATTTGTTTCATTTGGCCAAGTAAATGAAGTTTTACTAATCTGCGAAATGTTTGATTTGTTTAAAGGTTAAATTTTGAGGCTTTTTAATGATTTAATTTTAATATTGGAGATTGAAATTACAAACTGGTAAAGATCAGATGTAAATATATTGCTGAGATGACAAGTTCATTGGAAGTTTTGCCTTATCTTGTACGGAACCAATCTGATTAAAATGCAGATCCTGTGTTCAAGCTTTGCTAACAAGGATCTAACAGCACTTCATTTTACTTTCTGTTCAGGTAATTATTATATCAGCCAATGAAATTTCAGCCTTCAAATTTTGAAGGTGTGTATTAATCCAACAAAACCAGTGGATCCCAAAAGTTTTTTTAAAACTGAAAGTAGAATGGATTGTTTTCAGATCCTTGTAAGCTAGGCTTTGAAACAGGATTTATGTTTGAATTAGATTGGATTGGGACTTACATGTTGAAAATGAGCATTTTAATTGATATAAACAGCAGTCATCTTGTTCGTTGAGTCTTGTGTTGTAGGATAATATTATGGTCTATAGTGTGTATATGTATTTAAGAAGCTGTAAAAAAACCTTTGTGTTTGTTTATTTTACTTGTACATTATACCTTTATAAAAAAAAGCAGAAAAGAAGGGGGAATGTACTTGTTACATTTGAAATGCCATATTATAAGTTTCAGAAAATGTATTGAATGCAACTTAGGAAAATCACTATATCAAAATACCAGTAATTTTCTGTTTTGTTCACTCAAGTTTGGCTTTTCAGTAGGTATTAGTAGTGTTCCAAGCGCACTTTTGTGGAATTTAACATTCTTTAAGTAGCCTTTAAACTGCCAAAGCACCATTCCCACCTTAAAATTTTGGGAAAAAAACTAGTCTATATGATGTAAATCCCAAGTGAGCAGTACAAGAACCTTAAAGTCTTAAGTTAATTTAGTAGTAGTCAGAGATTACTCTGAAGTCCAACGGCCGTGGCCCCAGCTTGTCTGGCAAAACAGCCATTGGAGTCAGAGTGATCTCGACTAATTTGGTAGTATTATATTGTCTTAAAACATGAAGGAAAATCCTTAATCAAAAGTCAACATTTCTGTAAAAAAATGAAGCCTAATAATGACTTACATGTGTCTGTGTTTTGTTCCTTGTTTTTATAAAGCTATTTTTATACGACCGCAAAAAAAATTGGCGGTCGTGTATTGGTATGACGTTGGCGTCGTCTCCGTCGTTGTCGTCCAAAAACACATTAGTTTTCGCACTCTAACTTTAGTTTAAGTGAATTGATCTCTATGAAATTTTACCATAAGGTTCAATACCACAAAAGGAAGGTTGGGATTGATTTTGGGGGTTATGGTACCAACAGTTAAGGAATTAGGGGCCAAAAATAAGCATTTTTGTAACTTCCAGACATAACTTGTGTGTTAGTGTATGGATATCTCTGACATTGTACCACAAGGTTCCATATCACAATGGGAATGCTGGGAATGATTTTGGGGGTAATTGCCTCAAAATTTTAGGAATTAGGGGCCAAAAAGAGGCAAAAACAAGCATTTTTCTAGTTTTATGACAATAACTTGTGTGTAAGTGTATGGATCTTTATGAAATTGTACTACAAGGTTCCATATCACAAAGGGAAAGCTGGAATTGACTTTGGGGGTAATTGCCCAAAACGTTTAGGAATAAGGGGCCAAAAATAAGCATTTTTCTAGTTTCCAGACACATGCTGTGTTTAATTGTATGGATCTCTCTGAAATTGTACTGCAAGGTACCATACTACAAAGGGAAGGCTGGGATTGATTATGGGGTAATTGCCTCAAAATTTTAGGAATTAGGGTCCAAAAAGGGGCAAAAAACAAGCATTTTTATTCAACCGTTCTAGTTTCAGGACAATAACTTGTGTGTAAGTGCATGGATCTCTCTGAAATTGTACTACAAGGTTCCATATCACAAAGGGAAAGCTGGGTTTGAGTTTGGGGATAATTGCCCTAAACGTTTAGGAATTTGGGGCCAAAAAGGGGCCTAAAAACAAACATTTTTCTAGTTTCCAGACAATAACTTGTGTTCAAGTGTATGGATCTCTCTGAAATTGTACTGCAAGGTACCATACCACAAAGGGAAGGCTGGGATTGAGTTTGGGGGTGATGAATCATAAGGGGGTTCACAAAATTTGGGGGAGAGATATTTTTTTCCTTTTTTTCCTTTTTTTTTTCTTTAAAATTTTCCATTTTAAATTGGTTATTTCTGATTTATATATAAAAGCAAATAATAATGATATGGTTTGAACAGGTAAATTAAAATTTTTTAAGTTCTTAGACCACATTCATTCTGTGTCAGAAACCTATGCTGTGTCAAATATTTAATCACAATCCAAATTCCGTGCTGTATCAAGCTTGTATTTTGTATCCATACTTGCCCCAACTGTTCAGGGTTGGACCTCTGCGGTCGTATCAAGCTGCGCCCAGCGGAGCATTTTATTGTAAGCTGTCAGCAGATATTAACTTGGAGAATTTGAAATTATTTGCAGTTGCCTCCCTTATCCTATCAGCTGAAAGAATTTGAACTTTTTTGACAACCAATCTGGCTCTATAGTCTATGTGGAAGCTATTAAATGAAATTCAAATAAAAGTTGTGTATTGATATCATAGTTGATTCCCCAAACTAAGATAGTAGAGGGAATCATGTTTCCTGGTTTGTATGTCCATCTGTCTGTTTGTCCTTTCTTTCATCCTGTATTAGATCAGAATTGTTTTGGTTTGTGGTAGGTTACCATGGAGCTGTGGTCAAATCAACTTAAAACTTAATACACATGATGTGAACTTTTAAAATGTATTAAGAATTAAGATTTCACAGTTCACTGAACATGGAAATATGAAAGTATGAGTGGTGTATGGATATGGTGTCCTATGCACACATTCTTGTTTTGTTTATACAAAGGGAGACAATTCAGTCTTATTTCTAAAAAATTATCCATAACAGTTGACATTTGCAAGCTTACTTATCTGTAGATCATGCTTTGTTCTAGATTCTGCTAGAATTAGATACACCAAAGTAAGATATTTGAAAGGAGAGCTCCTAACAACTGCTTGGAATAAAATATTTATAAAGATATGATTTGATTTAATAGTTAACATGTATTAATGTGCTGTTTTGGTGAACAAGTAGGTTTGGCTGCCTCAAAATAATGATGATGATTGGGTTTCCCAATTCCATTACATAAGATTGTCTTTATATGTTTGGAGAACTAGCTTGACTGTATGTTAAGATGTTAAGAAATGTGTAAAGTGAAGTTCTTTTATCTTGGAGCAGAAATCTGTATATATTTAGAAATGTTATGCAATCAGAGACATTTTATTTAAAAAAAAAATTATTTGATAATTAATACATGTAAAACAAATCTGATATTAAGTGTAAAGTATAAGGACTTTATGTATATAACCTATTTAGATTCTATTGTTGAAAGTTACTTTGATTTTTTTTTATTGAGAAAATAAAAACTTCCTTGTATATATACCCATTGTACTGAAAAGGAAATTGTCATTTGAATGATGTTATTTAGTGTAACCTATACCAAGGAACAACAATGTAAAAACAAAGCTGGCTATATGTACCCTCCTATAAACAATAAAGTATGGTGTAAATATGTACTATAATGCTGCTGATGGTAAGTTTATTTTGTTCTAGCTTTTACTTGACAAATTTATTGAACACAAATTTTTATCATTATGAAATATTTTTTTGAAATGAGCTGGATATAATACACAAAAAATAGACATTAACTTCATGCTCCTGTTTTAGCTCACAGGTGGCCTACAGGAGTGTGAGCTTTTTCGTCACTTTGCAATATGTCTTTGATAAGACAATCTGCCTTTTCAGGAATATGACACATTAGCTCCAATAAAAAAAATCTTTATTGCATCTTGTGTAAAGGCTGTGCGATCTGTTGCTATCATTTGGCATTCTTTGTTGTAAACATTTGGAATCTGTCTTCAAAACCCCCTGAAATATAACAGATCTAATTTGGCAAATATGTTCTTGTTGGTTTAAAACAAGTACCAAATATGGCCAAGAAAGTTTAAATCTTGTAATTTTTTTAATTCTTTAAATGTCTTTGACCTTTGAACCTCTGAATCAGGTGAAACCAACAGAAAAAAAAATTTCCTGTTGAATTTCTTTTGAAGTGTTTTAATTTAAATGAAAAACAGTAGGGGTTGTAGTTGTACATTTAAGCCTATGGAAGGTGTTTAAGAATATTCTTGAGATCCTCTTAGCCTTATAAAACCAAAATGAGGAAGGTTTCTGTGATAAAAAAGTTTTGCTATTGATATAAGGAGATGTGGTATGATTGCCAATGAGACAACTATCCACCCGAGTCCAATTAAATGACATTGGATGTTAGCAATTATAAGTCACTGCATGGCCCTCAACAGTGAGCAAAACTTTTACTAAATAGTCAACTATAAAAGGCCCTGACATGACAAAATATAAAATAATTCCAATAAGAATACCATCTGCCTCATTTATGACAAAACAACAAACCAGACAGCAACCAATGAGAACAGCAGAATTACTTAGGACAGGCACAAACAGAATGTGGCAGGGTAAAACATATTTATGAGTGCTCAACCCTCCATAAGAACAAAATGTGAAAATCAATTTGAAATGGCTACTGAGATAGGCACAAAGCACAATTAAAATGACTGACATAAAGATAAAAGATACAAAGTACTGATTTAAGCATACTGGCAGTGAATGGAAGCTTGTTTCACAATACAACTCATGTTATCTATCTCAGGCTAAAGTTGTTACCTCAGTGCCAGTTGCCTAGATCAGTATGTCTGCTAGCAGGGAAATTAGTTTTAAATTGGAGTCTAATGGGAAGGAAATAAGTGGTGAAATCTTATGGTGGTGTCAACAATGTATTAGTTTGTGATTAGGTCAGTATAAGGTAAACCACTATTGGTAGGTCAACCACTATGGAACGATTGTCTGGTGTACATGTCTGTCTGGCAGGTTTCATCTGACTTTGAGCTCACTTTTATGGTTCATTTATCAATGTTAAGTTTTCATGGTTTTGTCCATTAATTGGATGCTATAAGCAATAGGTCAACAATATTTGGTGTTGGAATGATTGTAAGGTGTACACATCTGTGTGGCAGAGTTCATCTTGAATGCATTTTATGAATCATTGATAATGTTTAGTTTATGTGATACATGTACTTGAAGTAAAACCTTCATATTACAGACATTTAACATAAATTCAATCATAATAAAGCAGGGTAGACATTCAACATGCACTTTTGTCCTTCTTTGTCTTGTGTGACTGGCTGCTGAACTTTTGAATGTCTTGAAGGATATTAATGATACATTGTATTATTGATGCCTACTGCCATGTCATGAATAAAGATGAAATGTGTGCATGGTCAAGGTCACTGACTTATTTTGCCATTAATACCCTATATCTTACTACACAAAGTCATGTCCTGCTTCCATGTTTTGAATGTTTTATGGAATATAAATGATACTTGGTATGATAGTTGTACATCACCAAAAGATGAGCCAAGCAAATGTGTTTCTCATGGGACAGGGTCACAAACAACATGTTTCTATAATACAAAAGTAGAAGGATATCATTTGTAAGCTTTAGTCACATGCAGTGCCTCTAGTCATGACATAATTCATGGTTTATTGTTAGTGTAAAATAAATCAATGAAAATATGACTGATTATCAAATATGTTAGGACTTGGTATTAAAGTATATATGACATGTATATAAAGATTTGAAGAACCAAGAATTGAACACAAGATATTTAGACAATATTTACCTATACAGGATGTTGTCTTCTTATGCCTTTAAATGTGTATTACAGACTTACATAACATCCTTGATTTTGTCAGAATTTAAAGATAAAATAGTATTTATAAATACCAAAACAAATATAATTGAGATTAAATGCTTTATAATTTGTTGAAGTTTATAATGATGATTATTCCAAATATTTGGAGTATCCTTTTCATCAGAAACCTGTCATATGTAAATATTTGAGGAATGCTGTCGAGGTCATAAGTAAACTTTGACTTTTTCACCTGAAATTAAGATTTGCTTGAGGCAATATATATTGACATGAATTTAGGTAAAATATGTGAAAAATAAGTTAAATCGTGTAATGAAATAATGTTGATTAGCTTTTCCCTGGCTAAGGCTGGCAGTCAGGCCTTATTATATTCTAGTGACATGGAGTTTATTCACACTAGAAACATATTGTAAAAACTGTTTGGAATTGAAGCATCGTTCAAGTATAAAATCCATTAATGTTCTTTAATGTTTTATAAGGACCTTTACCCATTGTAAGAAATTTAAGTCTTTTCCTTGTGAAGAACAGCAGAATACAGACAACAAACACCAACTCCCCGTCTCAGAATCTAAAGGACTATGGGTAATTTGTTGTTTGTACCCCAAAATGAAAATAACTACAGGTCATTGGTCAAATTTCTATTGTTTATGACCTTTTCCACCAATCATTATGTTTTGGTGTACGCTTTTGAAAGTTTTACCCAGAGTGCATGAGATTCTGAAACGGCGAATTGCACACTGAAATGAAAAATATTTCTTCCTTCTTTATTTTTATGAATACTGATACACATTTTTTTTTTCATAAACGTTAACATGAAAAAAAACCCAATTATTTCCTTTCATTTACGTTCACACTTAAAAGTTACCATGATACATACCCTAGTTACAGTTGTATTGAGACTTTGGATTTGACAATAATTTCAGTGGAGATTAGTGTAGATGCACTCCCACAGGAAAAATGCAATTTATTTAAGACATCCATTTAGACAGATAAATAAAGATATCTTAAAGAGCACTTCTATAAAAGGCTTCTAAGTTGGATTCTAATGTTATAATATCAGGAGCTCCTGAAATGTATACCATACAGTTGTTATGCTCTTACCACACTACACGAGGGCCTAAACAAATTCTGAACTCTAAAGTTACTTTGACCAGTACCTGCACAAAGGCCATCTTTCCTTTTACTGAAAATGTCCCATTATTCACATTTGTCTGTTCTATAACTCAGATCTCTCGATTGATACAGAAACAATGTATGTACATGTAAGTTGTGGGAGTATGTAGGACATGAATGGCATATCAGATTGATCTATAGACAATAAATATCATACAGTTACTTTGCATTGATATAATAATTGTTTATTGAGGCATAAACAATATTTGTTTCATTGAGTAAGAATATCATACAGGTATATAAGTATATATTTATGATCATATTTGTTGGTTACTTTTGTGATAATTTGTCATCACCTAGATTGTTATTCATATTTAATATTTTATTGTGCAAGCTGAGTACCCAGTATTTAGTCATTATTGAATTATAATTAACATTATAAATTAGAATGGATACATCAAAAGTATTTTTATGTTCTTATCTGCCTGTGATGGGTTGGAAGTTTTTATTCTCCTGCCTAGGAAACACTGGGATGCTAATCCAGTGGACAGTGTCAACATCATTAGATCTTTGCATTAAGCTTTATATGTTAGATGGTAGAAGACCTGGATACTTCATATCTTATATACAAATGCCTTATGTTCTAAAGTTTCACTGATAGTTCACCCTTTAAGTACTACAGGATGAAAAAGAGTGATTTTATTTACTTTCCAGAAAAACAGTGTTGATTTATTCAGTTGGATGACTTGAAATGGATAAGAAAAGACTTTATACTGTAATCCTGAATAACCTCAGTAAAGTTTCTCAATCTGATGAGATCTTGGACTGACCATGCTAATACACAATTTGAAAAGCTTTAGAATATTATCTTCAGTGTACAATCCATGCAACACAAATAAAAATAATACATCTGAGAAAAACATACATTATTAATGATATAGGTGTCATGAAAATCTTTTCCTCCTAATTGGGTTGTCATAATCTGTCACTTCTTTCATACAATCTTTATCTTCTTCTCCTTTAAACTTCAAACAATAGTGGCATACTTCATTCTCATACTAACAAATTCTTATGTATCAAAAACTGCTAACAAAGATGTTATCGCTTGTTTAAGTTTATAAACAATTTATTACTTTGTGTAGTAAAAAATTGTACTTTTAAATTGACTCTATGTTGTTTTACAATGCCACCTATTAAATGGACCATCTGGGGTAAGATATTTATCATCTCACATAGAATTGTGTAAAGGTAACATTTTTGTGATAGGGGTATTTGTTTATGAGGTTTGACTTATAATTGTAAGGTCAGTGTGTAGAATTTCGTTCTGATGAAAAAACGTTCAGGTGTACGGATATGTTGGGAGAAAACTCTTGGAATTTATTATTCTGAGAATTTGAGTTCATTCAGATTTTTCAATGTGAATATTATTTGTGGCTATTGGAAAAATGTCTCCTTATTCTGAATTGGACATAATTACAGTATTTTAGAGTGTCTCAAGTCTTTACATTTGGGAAAGGATAATGCTTGCTAGGTGATTTTAAGGAGGTATTGTTTATAGTCTACCCTTGTTACTGAGGTAAATCAATTTCTTAGATTCAAATGAAAATGTGGAGTGTATGATTTAAGAAAAAAATTAATTTATGAAGTAATGAAATAAATTTTTCAGTGAACTTATAAAAGAAAACCTACATACAATAGAATTGCAAGAAAATTAAAATTCTAAATTAGTAATTTATCTCTGTTAAATTCTTATATAGAAAAATAAGTAAATGAATTTTGAATTTTAAATAAAATGAATTGTAATTAATCAAATTGTAGCTTTTATATCAAAAGTTGATTAGAAATTGATTTTAGAAATAATATGAAAACAATAATAAAATGAGAGTTCATTGCATGTGCTTAAACAATTCAGAAACAATAATTGATCCCAGTATGAATGTTTAGTTTTCCTTTTGACCATTACATAACTATAAAATCCACTTTTATTCCCTCCAAAGGCAAGTTTGATTAAAAAATCTATGAGGTTCCTATTCAAAGGTCACAGTATAAGTTTTATTGGATGAATTCAGAAATTTGATGACAACTAGATCCAGGCTTTATTTATCAGGATAGGGGGAACTTTAAGAAGCTTATTGGTATGTGATCCCATATATTATGTAGGACAGATAAATTGTTTGTTTTGACATATGGTATAGTAGGTAAAATTAATTAGGTATTAACATGACTGTTTCAAATTGGTATAAGTGTTTTATTGTCAGATTTAAATAGCTTTTCAATGTAGTATATTACAAAGTTTGGTGTTAAGTAACTTTATTTCCATCACAAGTAAAGGTCAAGGAAGGAAGAAATCTGTAGAAAGTGTCAGTTTAAATTCAATTTTCTCTAAATAATCTACATCACTCATAACATCATAAAATCAGGTTTTCATTTATAAAGGTAACAGTAAAAGATAAGTTTTCAGTAAAGCTTAACGAAAGTTAAAACAAAGATTTTTACTTATTTCCTTTATAAAAATGTAATTTACTTGTAAAGTTTGCAATGATATAAGTGAAGATGTTCATGTTGTATGCATGAAGCTGAGACAGCACACCTAAGATAATGTGATTTTATCTTTTACACACAGTCAAGATGTGTAGGAGGAGGATGCATCCAGTGATTGCCAAAAAACCTGCTGTTTCTACGTATTTACCAATACTCGCGTGATTTTTACACATTTAAGCTGATTTTGGTTAGATCTAAGTTTCAAATTTTTGAAGATTTCTGGATTTGCATGATCTGTGATTTTGGAATTCATTGGTTCATTAGGAAAAGTGAGAAATTAAATGGATTTTATAAAGTTCTGATGAAAAAATTGCCACCTTTTAAGTGGATTCAGAGAAGTTTATTATTATTTTATGATTAGTTTTTAGTTTAATTGTGAATATTTAACATCTTAATATTTTAAAAACATTCTTATAAATAAGATAGAATATTTTTTCAATGAAAGATATTATTAGTTAAATTCGTATTAATGGTTTTAGATATAATGATAGAGTGAATACCATTAACACTTTTATAAATCATCATATGTTTTTTTTTATTAAATCAATTCGGAGTTACTTATTTTACTATGGCTTAAATGTTTTGAAATAATCAGCATCCTATCTTAAATGTTATAAATCTAAAACTTTATTCAAATAATTATAGATATTTTATCGTTTCCACTTTAAAATGATCTATCACTCAAAATCATATGCGTAATTAAAATCATTTCGTGTGTTCAATTATGCTCAGGAAAATAAATTAGAATAAAATTATCCACTTTCCTTTTGTCTTAAATTTGCAGGTGAGGTTAATTATAATAAGAACATTGGAAGTCATGATATTTGTATCCATGACATATTTTGGTGTTGACCCATTCAACTAATACAGGTGATATCGACATTTTTGTTTTAACTATTAAATGACATCCTAGTTCAGGAGAAAAAAACAGGTGTGGGTATAGTAAGGCCTAAAAGGAATAAAAGGTACATTTTCCAAAACTCAAACAGAACAGTTTTAGAAATGGATTTTTTGTGGATTTCTATAAATCATGATAGATAAACAAAAAAATCGACCTGAAATTGAATACGTTTTGATAGGGAAAAAAACTAGCTGCATAATTTTAGGATAGAAAAATAAAAAGAACCATTGGAGAATAAAATAATTTATTGTAAAGATGTGTGAACGATATTTGTTTTTGATCAATTTCTAGTGTCGACAAAGAAAAAGAATGAATTTGTTAACAACACCTATGAGTGAATACACATTGTGTGTACTTTAGTCCCAAAAGTCATTAGGAGAAGAGATCTTGAACGGAAGCTACAGTAATGTTTTTTCTTTTGAGAAAGGAAATATAACAAGATAAGATTTATAACGATAATATTTTGTTAATCAAAGGAAAACAAATTATAATTGGATAGAATTACTTTGGAGTGCTTTAACTTGGTGTTTAACGTATCAACAGGAAGATTTTATAACTTGAGATTTAACTTATTAGGGTATCGAAAATGAAGGAAAATTTCAGAAGTACTGGCGATTCTCAATATTTTCATTCAGGAATTTTTATATCTGGATTTGGAATTTAAATGGCATCTTTGTGTTCAATAGAAATTCTAAGTTTTGAAAGAAGAAACAAAACTTGACATGCAGCAGAATCATGCTCCAGTGCAATATGTTTACTCTAAAGTCGCTATCTATCATAATTGTCGAATCGAATTGAAATGGAATCGATCACTTCATCATTGTAAAAGTTGTGAATTTAATACCTTGAAAAACTGTTCTTTCAACTGTGGTGCTATACATTATGGGAAATGTACTCCAGTGGTTGTGCCATTCATACAGAGTTATCGTAGGCGGAAATCTGGACAGGGAACCATACCGGTGGCTAAAGTTATACCCACCCGGTTAATAAAACCAGAACCAGAGGCAGAAATTATTAAACCTGATTTCGATGAAACAGATAACAAGGTAAAGTTTTCAAAACAGAAAAATATGGTGCGAATAATGAGGGGGTGGGGGTCAAGTATTATGGTGAATGAATTGAAACTGTATAGAAATGCCTGAACTTACATCAGTTTATATAAAGTTTGTTTGACTATAGCCAGGTATCCAAGGACAAGTAAAACTGTAAACTGTAATTGATGAAGTATTGTCCAAAACAATATAACTGTCTCAAGAACTTTTATATATGTACCTTTTAATAGGGAAAGGGGGTGGGGCAGAAATTTGTGTCAGGACTTTTGTGGGTTTTCTTAAACTTGCTGCTTGCATTTTCTGAACATATTTACATTTCATTATTAAATAAACATTTTTTGTGTGCATGGTAGGTGAAATACTCAGTACAAACATTATTGATAATGCAAGGCAATAATTATTTGATAAGTACATTCACATGTGCTGTGCATTTCGTGATAATTTGTCAGATAGAAGATGAGGCATACATGCATCTTGTATTTTGAGGATCTAAATTGGGGAAATTGTTAAAAGATTATGGTGTTCCATTGCATTAAGACAGAAATACCATAATAAATGGTCAGTTAAATATTTTGAAAAATAAGGAATTGAAAATACTAGTGTAGAGGTGTAAGTAAATCTGTATCGACAGGTACACTACCTCTTGCACACATGGTTATGCCATTGTTAGGTTACATCATCAGTCAGAAACATTTATATGTGGATGTAATAATATTAAATAAGATAAAAAGGGGTCTCTGCACTTAAGTTGATAAAATGAATAAAGTTTTTAAAATAAGGTTTCAGTAACAATGTGTATGAAATCTCTATGAGTACTATTTATGGGTTCATTTGATTCAGCAGTCTTTGTGTGTGTTTATTGAAAATGTTTGTATTTTTTATGGATAAGGATAAAATACATTTTCTGTGAAAGTCATATGTACAGTTAACACAGGATAACAATTTATAACCATTTCATAAAAATGCATGAGTGGCATATACTTGTACATGCATAAAATTTGCTCAAACTGTCTTTTATTGTTCTTGAACATGTTGAAAGCTCTAGGTTATACACTACCATTATTGGTTGGTCTTGTTTTGGAAGGTTTGAATGGTTTTCACTAAGTTTGACCACAATTTTATCCTTCTTTCAGTCATTTGATGTCCATCTACCACAACAGTAGCCAGGTTGACTGTTACAATTTTATTACCTGTGATTTTACAGATTGGTCCATAGTTCAGGTGTCATCTTCATGGCCTAAGGACACTCGTAAACATACATACCATTTCCTTCTCATAAAAATAATCAAAATTGTTGGGGGTCAAAAATTGATGCTATCTTGAAAAATTGAATATTGGTTTATTATTGTATTAAATTGTATAAAACAACAGTTCACAGATGCCGAATGTCAACCTGATACAATTTGGAGATAGTTAAAAAGTTGGACAAGATATGTCAGAGATATGTCCCTTGTACAAAAGTGGTTAATATAGCAGTTGTAATACATTTAAAGAATGGGGAGTAAACTGAGCACAACAATTTTTACCACACCAAAAACCATGTCATTTTATATTGTATGATACTACTCTATCCCACTCACCTCATACAAGGGTACACAAGTTTAAAAAGCAGGTCCTAGAGGTACAAAACGGTGCCGTACAATATACATGATGTAATAAAAGGACTATTGAGCTATTCGTAGTAATGATTTACCAAAGCTAGGGATATAATGATATAATTAAGACATATATTTAAAATTATGGACATTTTTTTCCTGATTTCTTAGAGTTTAGAACTTTATATAAAAATGGATTTGTTTGAGAAAGGTTTGTCTTTTAATAAAAAGTTTTATGTAAAAAACAAATTATTAATCGCACTGTGTGGAGACTGTAGGAAATTGCTTCAAGTGTATGATTGGATATTATTACATTCATAACTTGATGTTCATTAGATGACTTCTCATATGTGTACCACTTCGCTCCTTCAGTCTGTATATGTATTGAAATTGATGTGCAGTCCGTCCATTTGTAATAACTGCCCTATTTTTTCCTGCCAAGTTATCTAACAGATTTTGATTGGCTACATGATTGTCTAAATGTTTGTATTGTTTCTGTATTTTGTTGGTCAAAGTTATTAGATTTATTTATCCATTATTATCTGTAAATTGTTGATATTACCCTGTACCTGTGTTTTTTGGCAGATGGATGCTATCGGCTCTCTTTAAATATGCAGTGATGTGATCTTTTGCTCCATGTTAATGGCTTAGCTGTGTGACTTAAAAAATTAAAAAACAGCAATTAAAGAGTCATTTGTTTTCTTCAGAAGTTTTATTGTGAGTGTGTAGGGATTAAAAAAAAAATCGATAATTTCTTAATGATTCCATTTTTGTATATCAAGTAATATTCTAGATCTTTCAGGAATGACTAATGAGTTTAATTATCAGCATTATATTTGATAACATACAGTTGAACATGTAACATTGTTGAAATTTGATGGAAATCAACAAACAAAAATGATGGTTCGTAATCCTTACCATGTGGGGTCAGTTATATTCATGATATTACGGCCTCTACCCAAAATACCTTTTTAGCTAAGTGAGCTTTTCTCATCACTTTGCGTCCGTCGTCCGTCGTCTGTCGTCCTGCGTCCGTCGTCCGTCGTCCGTAAACTTTTACAAAAATCTTCTCCTCTGAAACTACTGGGCCAAATTAAACCAAACTTGGCCACAATCATCATTGGGGTATCTAGTTTAAAAAATGTGTCCGGTGACCCGGCCAACCAACCAAGATGGCCGCCATGGCTAAAAATAGAACATAGGGGTAAAATGTAGATTTTGGCTTATATCTCTGAAACCAAAGCATTTAGAGCAAATCTGACATGGGGTAAAATTGTTTATCAGGTCAAGATCTATCTGCCCTGAAATTTTCAGATGAATCTGACAACCTGTTGTTGGGTTGCTGCCCCTGAATTGGTAATTTTAAGGAAAATTTGCCGTTTTTGGTTATTATCTTGAATATTATTATAGATAGAGATAAACTGTAAACAGCAATAATGTTCAGCAAAGTAAGATCTACAATTAGGTCAACTTGACCAAAATGGTCAGTTGACCCCTTAAGGAGTTATTGCCCTTTATATTCAATTTTTAACCATTTTTCGTAAATTTTTGTAATCTTTTACAAAAATCTTCTCCTCTGAAACTACTAAGACAAATTTAACCAAACTTGTCCACAATCATCATTAGGGTATCTAGTTTAAAAAATGTGTCCGATGACCCCGCCTGCGAACCAAGATGGCCGACATGGCTAAAAAATAGTACATAGGGTAAAATGCAGTTTTTGGCTCATATCTCTGAAACCAAAGCATTTAGAGCAAATCTGATATGGAGTAAAATTGTTTATCAGGTGAAGATCTATCTGCCCTGAAATTTTCAGACCAATCAGGCAACACGTTGTTGGGTTGCTGCCCTTGAATTGGTAATTTTAAGAAAATTTTGCAGTTTTTGGTTATTATCTTGAATATTATTATAGATAGAGATAAACTGTAAACAGCAATAATGTACAGCAAAGTTAGATCTGAAAATAAGTCAACATGACCAAAATTGTCAATTGACCCCTTAAGGAGTTATTGCCCTTTATAGTCAATTTTTTACAATTTTCATAAATTTTGTAAATTTTTTACAATTTTACAAAATATTTTCCACTGTAACTACCGGGCCAAGTTCATTATAGATAGAGATAATAATAAGGAGCAAGAATGTTCTTTAAAGTAAGATCTACAAACACATCACCATCACCAAAACACAATTTTGTCATGAATCCATCTGTGTCCTTTGTTTAATATGCACATAGACCAAGGTGAGCGACACAGGCTCTTTAGAGCCTCTAGTTTGGCTCACTATACTTTAGAGGTCAACTGTATGGTATGTATCTTGAAATTGATGCATGTTCCCTCAATCTAAGGATATTCATGGTCACGTTTCTCAGGTTAAAGATGCAGTTCGGGCCCAAATACAAACCTCGTAAATTGAAATTGGATAAAACAGGTTTTTTTGGAGATGTGGGCTTCTCTTCTGTGTCTGGGACACATGTTACAGAGGCTTAAAACTTTAAAAAATAGCATCAACCTGCAGCATAGAACTACTGTTCGTGTTTTTATTGAAATACTCTTAGGGAACGACTACTTCTGGTTGCAGCTCCATGTGAAGCCAAAAATCTGGGAAAAATCTGAAAATTACATATTTTTGGTGGAAATGACCTACTTCTTAAACTACCATACTTAGATCAAGTTCACTCTGAACTCAGCACTTTTTGGGTCAATGTGTTCACTGGGGTCCATTCTACATAGCAGACTATAATGAGACATATCTGTCAGCATTCTTTGGTCTTCCAGGTCAAGAAATATGATCACTTCTTTGCAATTTCCTTAGTATGTATGATAACTATTGAAGTACGGCTAGTGCATAAAGTTTGTGGGGTTTGATTTACTTTCAAAAGGCATATCTGCTGACCGTCCTTTGGAAATTTAAACACTGTGTGGTTTATTTTAACAATTATTTGGCCCAGAATTTACACACATTGTCTATATTAACTCCCTATAGCAGTTGTAAATTTGACCTAATTTATCTACCCTAGGTACATAAAGATAAACTTACAGATATATCATCATCTATCTCCTTAAGTGAATAATTATAACAGAAAATATGCATTTTTTCTTGGGGCGCCTTTCTAACACATTTGACTGAAATTTGATAAAAGTTATGAATTAAATCACATATTTGTATCTTAAACAAAGGCCTAATGTTTGTTCAGTCTTAAATATTGCCTTGTAGTTTCATATGTATTACTTAATCATTTCAAGTTTTAAATTGTATTGTTATAGATTGAATTTCAATAAGAAAAACATTTCATTTTTTAATTGCTACTTAAAGTTTTTTGAATTGATTAATTGTTTTATACAGCAAACACGCTAACCCCCCACCACTGAAACAAACATTGAACATTGTGCTATAGTTACT